CCGCTGCCGCCTCGTCGTGCTCGGCAGAAAAACCGGCGGCAAGTGGTCCCGAAGCTGCTACTTTCCTCCGGTTCCTTGCCCGCAGCCGCGCCCGGTCATCTGCTTACGTGCTTCGGTGGTCCGCTCTGCTCGCCTTTGCCGCTGCCCGCACCTTCGCGACCAGCCTCGTCTCCCTGCCGCTTTCCGGTGCAGCCAATGTCGACGGAGATCCTCGGATCCTCAGCGACCTTCTTGCCGAAGCATCGGCCCCCCCCTCCTCTTGCCAGCCGCATGCCCTGAGTTGCCTACGTAGTCTGGCCTTGGTTTCGGGCGACCTGCACAGGCTATACTACTACGAATACTACGAAGCAAAGTATTCTTTTGTGTTAGGAAGTCCCAATTCCTGAGAAAAGCATCTTTTGTTGAAATGGCGGGCAGCAAAAACGAATACTTCTCCTGTGAGAAGCATTCCGTGAAAGAATTACTCTACCCTCTCAGCTTCCTAATCCCAGCTACGGTCACGAGTCCCCAGCCCACTGGTAGTTGTTCACGTCCACCTTGATGTGCCCGTCGCAGACGAGCGGCGCATCGAAGTCGTTGCCAACGGACTGCCGCTGTGGTATGGATCCCAGCTCGCCGTCGACGCGACCATTGTGTCCTCCCTGACGCGTCAAGGCGGAGCACACCCCCATGCCGACGTGCAACCTGGCCGTGCCGTCACCAATGCTGCACGCCGCAAGCGACACCACACATACCCTGAGCTTGGTCAGGCCTGACGGTGCCGCTTGGTAGTCGTCGGCATTGCTCTTGCAGCGTCTCTCCTGGAACTTCCCCCAGCTGCAGAGTTCGGAGAGGGGCCCGAGCCCGAGCTGCACGAAGTCCTTGTCGATGCGTGCTGGGATGTCGCCTAGCTGGCCTCGACCAGTCCTAGCTGCGCCGGCCCTGCCCAGTAGGCCGTGCTTGCACCGGGACCCCTAACGCGAACCTGCCTGCGGACAAAAGGTGCGTTGAAAAAAAAGAGAGAACACATAGCTGAAGGCGAGCGAAAGGATTTGGCCGAACGGGATCTGGACGCACTAGTCTGTAGATTGGTTGTTCCGACTCGGAGTTCCTCCACTGGGCGGATGTGCGGTTTCAGCTGGAACCAGATGCAGTTGCACCAGATGTTGCCTTTCCCTGTGGAAAGCTTACTCCCGTAGGTGCAGGCGAGGGACCGGTAGACCCACGAGCCCTTTTCGCTTTTTGCCTTTGTTTCCTTCCGTCTGCTGTCCGCTTGAGACTGTCAGGATTCGCATTCATCCTTCCTCCCGTGTATTGGTTCGTTTGAACTTCTAGAACGGCTGTTCTACGGCCCGCCATCCGAGTTCGTGTGGACCGACTCTGCCGGCAACCCCCACCGCGTCCTACAGGCGGAAGGCGGCGAAGAGGGCGATCCGCTCATGCCGGCTTTCTTCGCGCTCGGCGTTGCGCCTGCCTTGCGTGCTGTGCAAGCCGATCTCCTCCCCCACGAGAGCGTGCGTGCATTCCTCGACGACACCTACCTCACCAGCCAGCTCTGTCGCTCCGCATTCTTGCTGCAGCGGCTTGAGCACCACTTGTTTGCCCACGCACACATCCAGCTCAATGCCGCCAAAACTCGTGTCTGGAATGCAGCAGGGGTTCGCCCGGCTGGGCTCCCCCTGCCGCCCCACCCGGCGCCCGACCATGCACAGATGTGGGTCGGCGACAGTGGTCTGCCTGCATACCAACAAGGCCTCAAGGTCCTCGGGGCCCCGCTCGGTACAGATGAGTTCGTTGTTGCGCAACTCCACACCCTTTCCGCACAGCACCGCGCTCTCCTCGAGCTTCTCCCCTCACTTCCCGACCTCCAAGTCGCCTGGTTGTTGCTCCTGTACTGCGCCAACCCGCGTGCACAGCACATACTCCGTGCCGTCCCGCCTGCCCTCACTGCTGTCTTCGCGGCCGAGCACGACCGCAGCATGCTGCATTGCCTGGCCCTGCTGCTGCAAGTCCGTGCTGCCCCGGATGACCCGCTGCCCGGTCTTGCCATCCGTCGGGCCCACCTGCCTCTTCGCCACGGGGGCCTCGGCCTGCGCAGCGCCGCGGCGCATGCCCCGGCTGCCTTTTTCGCATCTTGGGCAGATTCGCTTCGCGCCATCAGGGCCCGCGAGAGCGAGTCCTGCGACCAGATCTTGCAACAACTCGCAGGTCCCTCATGCCACATTCGCTGTCTCGCGTCGGACGCGTCGCTCCAAGGTGCTGCAATTGTCCTAACCAACCATGGTCTTGCCGTGCCGGCGTGGGGGGAGCTGCTCGCTGAACCGCCGCCTGAGGCCGAAGCCGACCCCGCGCTGCACGAGCCAGCCGACCTCGCGCATGGCTGGCAGAGAACAGCTTCCAAGGCTGTCGACGACGCTCTCCTTGCAGACCTCACATCTGCGCTTGATGAGGCGAGCATTGCATTGCTCCACTCCCAGGGCGGTCCCTTTGCCGGCCGAGTCTACACCGCCCTCCCTACGTGCCCGGAGCTGCGCCTTGATTCCGCAGCTTATGAGGTTCTCCTGCTCCGGCGTCTGCGCCTCCCATTGCCTCTCGATGCTGCGGCCTGCCGTTAAATTTGTGGCATTCATCTCGACTCACTTGGCGATCACCGTGCAGCCTGCCCGCGTGCTGGACTCCTCCGCGGTCGGGGCATTCCCCTCGAGCGGGCCGCCGCACGTGCCAGGCCGGAGCTACAGTCGCAGCCAATGTCCTCCTTGCCCAAAAACCTTATAGGGTGGTCATAGTCCAAGACATCCAATGCATCCACCTCCCACTTTGCCGAAACCCAGTCAAAAAAACTTTTCATGGCCTCCTCTTCGGCATGGATGAGTAAGTCATCGATGTAGACGACGACATAGCCGAAGACCTTGTCATCGCCCCCATCAGCCACAATCTTCCACACCTGGTTGTCTGACACCATCTGCTGAAGCTTCATTGTTGTCGGAACCCCTTCTACTTCCATTGTCCACCTCGCCAGCTTCAGCTGCTCATCACGGAACCGTGACCAAAGGGCAGGGGATTCCCTCAGGCCATATATAGCCTGTTCCACAAACCACACATCTCCCGGCGAAGCCAGACCGAGTTCGTAAGCTATAGCTGGTGGTTCCAACGCAACTGCTTGTCCTAACCACTTGGCTAAGACAAAAGCTTGTCGCACATCCGTAGTTCCGATCCTCCATGGTTTCCGGGCGTTTGTTGCCAGGAGTGTCATCAAACTTGTTGCATCAACACCTGCGGCGAAGAGGTCGAAGCTACTGTCCTCCTCTGGGACATGATTCCCACAGGCTACGAAGCGGGTTTTGCGACGAAAGCCTTCTCCACCTTTATCAGGTTTAACTGTACACACTCCTTTGCATGGAACGATTCGGCAGCCAGGGGGAAGTTCATCTCTCCTTCGCACCGAAAACGCCTTCTTTGCCTCCTTGAGGTTCTGGAACTCCTTGAGTGCCGAAGGTCTCCACGCCTCCAAATTTTTTCGGACATCGCTGAGACTCACGTTGTGCGTTACCTCCAGTGGCTTCCCACTCTCCTTGATCTCGCCTAGCAGGCCTTCTATGTCTTTAGTGTACTGCACTTCCGCTTTCTTCACGATCTTCATCATTGTTGCCGCTGCCCGATTACGAACACATTCGGCATGATCACGAGGAGGACGAAGTTCCTCGGCCTCTTGCTGTCGTGGGAAATCATAGTCATCCTCCTCCTCGAAAGCACAAACTTCCAAAGGCTCTGGCGCTCGCCTAAGCATCTTGATCCGCAGAACGGGAAACGCTGAGAGGCCTTCATCCACATCGTCCTCATCATCCGAATTCTCCACAGCCTCGGTCAAGGCTCGGTTGTCCATGTTGAAACCCATGTCCTCAAGGAACTCGACATTGTCCGGGTGCAGTTTGGTGGCCCTCGGGGTGTAAAGGAGTAGCACCAGTCTTTCTCCAACCCACGGCTGTACTTCATGCCATTTTCGTGGTGAGAAACCAATAGGCCTGCCCTTCTCCATTTCAATGATTCGACCCTTCACCTTCTTCCCATTAGGAAGTTCCTTTTCAACACTATCAATCTCATCCACGTCATTGTCCTGGACCCATAATGCACCCTTCTCAAAGTCCTGGAGGGGTAACACGAAGTTTTTGGAGAGACCATAATTGTGTAGGTCACGGTGAAGGCCGAGCTGTGCGTTCATTGCCAATCCTAGGGCCGAGAACTTCACTTCTCCACAGCAGCGCTTAGCCAGGTTCGCCAAGAACTTGGTGGTATGGGGAAACTCCTTCATGTTGGACCTCACCCCTGCAACACCTCCATGCACGTAGGCACCGGTATACCATGATGAGATGGTTGACTTCCTTCCCAGTCTTCGGTCAGTGTCACCGAGCATTTCCAACAACTTGTAGAGCAACACAGCCTCGTCCAAGCTGTAGTTCCCCTCTTCATTCAGCTTCCTGGCCTTGAACTCCATCTCGTTCCTGAGGTCCTCCTTTGTAGGTGGTTCCATTGGTGAAAGTAGTTCCTCAGGAAGGCCTTCCGCTATGGCTCGAGAAAGAAGTCCTTGGGGTCAGTGACACCAAACTTCACACTCTTCGCCACAGTGAGTCCACCATCTTCTCTGACAATCAGGTGGCCCCTTTTGACATCCACCGCTGGTCCTCTATACCACCCTCGCTTCCACCTTGAGCCAGCCGCTTCATGCTTCTTCTCCTGTTTTCCTTTGTCGGCCTTCGAGCGAAACCACACTTCATTGCCAAAAAGCGGTAGAAGGAGGGGATGCCCATGGGCTTTCCGGGAAGGGCCTAGTCCACAGATCCGCTGAAGCATGTTGTATGGCCATTGGCCAGTCGCGTGCTGGGGCCTTAGCCGCTGCTAGTAGAGCTCGAACTCTTGCCTTGGCCCATTTGATGCCCAGCTCTGCTGTACTGTTGCCGGCCGGGTCACCGCCAGCAGTCTTCGTATGTCTCAGCTACGAACTGATCGTCCATTCCTTGAAGGCTTTGGACTTGAACTCCCTAGCTCTGTCGGTATGCACTGTACCAACATGCAGCCCTGTCTGCTTTAGTTGAAGCAGGATTTCCTTCGCGGCCTGGACCATGTAGTGTGTAGTTCGTCCCCTCAAAGGCCGTGTCAGATAGATTGTCACCCAGTCCTCTGGCTGGGCCAATCCTTCAACGGCTTCATCCAGGGTTTCCGAACCATGTTTGTCGCCGCCCACGTCGCCCTCATCTCCATCAGTTTCTGCATGAAGTTCATCAGGGCGACAGTCATCTATAACCTCCATTGGATCTCCTTCAGCCAGTTTTCTCGGGTTCATCTGGCACAGAGAGGTCCTTGTCCAAAAAGTCTGCGACCTTTTCATTCATGTAAATGTACTCCTTCGGACAACGGTAGGCTGCCACAATGATGTACTTGTAATCCTCGTGGTCCATATCCCTTCCTTTCTGTCGAAAATGTCCTGCTAGATCCAGCCCGAGGGTGTAAATAGATGGATGAGGACGCCTTCTATGTTGATATCCAGTGGCCTGGGCATTGATGCAAACCGAACAGTCCGCTCTGTAGGGCTGGTGGTCGTTCAGTAGATGTCGGTGCCATGCTTCGCGCTGTTCTTTTGTCAGCTTATGCAATTTTGCTCCCGCTCTGATCATCTCCTCCTCATCCTGGAACCGCCCGGTGTGGTGGTCCTTGACTGCCTCTGCGACGAAGGTCTTGAACGGCCTTGACCATTTCCTCATTTCTTTGCGGCTCAACAGAGAAGAAGGGACACACTTATCACTGAAGTCGTAGTTCTTGTCGATCTGGTTGACAGACGGGTAAGTAGTGGCCAAAGTAGTAGGCCTCTTGGCTTTGTGCTCGAAGGCACCCATGTAGAACGAAATTCTCCCGCATTCCTGACACCGAACGAAAACTCCTCCATAGTTCAGTATCCCACACTGTAGCACCCAGAGGTTCTCCTTCTCTCAGTCCTTCACATCCTGCAGGAAATTCCATCAAGAAACCCACTTCCCTCTTTCCACACATCTGGGCTATCAACCAAACCACCATTTGCTTTGCAGCGAAAGCCGTCTCATTATCCACCCGTTGCCGCTGGGTCGCCGTGAGGTCCTTGATGCCGTAGATGTTGTCGGCCGTCCTCAACGCGTAGGACTCTGGTCCCCGGGTTGGCGTCATGAAGGTTGGCCAGGTACTGTGTGGGTGAGACCCAATCACATCACTGATCCGTCCATCTGCTGCTGCCCAGAGGAGAAGCTGGTACACTCCTCCCTCTCCGTGGAAATCCCAATGCCTGGACTTTGCGATGTCAATGTCCAGAACAACCTTGCCGGCCATGGGGATTGTCTCAAAGGGGTCTTGCTTGTCCTCGTTGGATCCCGAAAAACAGTTCACAACCCAGCTCCGGGAGCACATGAGAGCCCTCCTCTTTCGCCTGGATAAAGGTAGAGCTTTCAGGTATTTCTCTCCACCATGAGGATCGAATCCTTCCAGAAGAAGAGACTGAACATCCGAAGGGAGGCCTTTCGTGATCGGGGAGGTAAGGATGGCCTTCAACAACGTAGGTCTCGAGCCTGTTCTCGAAAATCCTTGAGAAGCTCGGTCCAATCCTTGGTCTCCTCCTTACGAATCACTTCCAATCGGGCCTTCAAGTTCGCGACTCTGGTGTTCAGCTCATTCACCTGGGCAACCTCGAGCTCCCTGATCAAGTTCAGGGCCTCAGGACAATGGTTTCTGATCTTCACTTGTACGGTCTTCTTGCTTGGATGGGTAAGACGGAGGTTCCTCGGCGTCCAGTGAAGGGTATATCCCAACGTCTCAATCACTGCCCCAAGAGGCACTATTGGCTGTATCTTTGCCTCCTCCTCCTGGACCAAGATCGTGCCACTGGAGTTCTGCCTCAGCACTCTGACGTCTTCACCAGCTAAAGTCACCCGCACGCGTACTCGGCCTCGGCTGCCGGTCTCATTGGATGACTTGCACCGCTATCAAGGAGACCAGTATCCCCATCTTCCTTCTCTTCCTCCTGGAAAACCCGCTTCATTGCCAAGTCGTTCTCCTCCTCATCCCTGCCAGGGTTCACCTTGATGGTTTTGAGAGAGGTAGCCGACATAGCCTTCAACATTTTCCCAACATCCGCCAACACCTCTTTCAGGTCAACTGCATCCTGTCCTGCGCCAGCGGTAGTAGTCGATCTCGAGGGGATAGTCTCGACTTGCGGGGTGTCGTCTATCCTCACATTCTTGTCGGAAGTTGTGTTCGGGGTAGTAAAGGAAGTTGCTTGCCTTTGCCCTGGTGGCCTCTGTCCTTGTGGAGTCGTAGTAGATGACGATGCCTCGGTAGTCGGTGGGGGCTTCTTGTTCGGACAGTCCTTCGCAGAGTGGTTCTTTCCCCCGCATGCCAGACACCGCCCGGTTTTCTCCAAACCATCCCACGAGTGTAAGAAGGGACACCTGCTGGCTCGAGCACATCCTTTGAAGGTTCTTCCGAAGAACTTACACGGGGTTTTCGCCTTGTCCTCCGGCGTCCTTTCCGCATTCTCTGCCTCAGACTTTGTCGTTGACTGTGAAGAAGACCTTGAAGTTGGGGAAGTCGTCGGCGCAGCTGTGGTTGGCGCAGTAGTGGCAGTCTTCTCTGGTTTCAGAGGCCTGAGTCTCGGTTCAGGCTTCGTAGGGGTAGAGGTCGCTGCCGAAGTTGTAGTTGCCGTCATCGTAGCGGTAGCCACTATAATCGTCTCACACTCTGCCAGGAGGTGATGGTAGTACTTCTCCATTGTGTCGTAGGAGGGGGTTGTGTCCACCATGAGGTGTGATCTTACTAAGCTCGTTCTGAAGTTCGCCTCAGCCTCCTTCTCCAAGACTTTCTTGGTTATTGTTGTGAGGCCACACGTCAGCAACGATGGGTCTGGTGCCGCTACACCGAGTTCTTTACACCTTCGCAACCATCTGGACCACGATCTCAACGCCTTTACCGCGCCTTGGGCATCTGGTGCCTGCTCTGGGTGCTGCAGGTTCTTCAAGATGGTCACCTTCTCTTGCTGGCCGCCCGGCTGGTAGATTGTGAGCAGCCTGAAGATCAGGGCCGTCACCGATCTCGTCGATCTTCGCTGGACCATCTCTTGCCTCACCGAATCGTGGAGCGCCGTCACCATTGATGCCCCGCGCGAGTTCACACGGCTCCACTTCCCAGACTCCAGCTCCTCATCTCTTGGTGGGGATATGCTCAACTTCTCCACTGGTGTTGCCTGCGTCCAAGTCTTGTATGAGTCATCCGCGAGCTTTCTAACCCGATTCCAGCAATCTGCACTCCCGTCTGACAAGTCCTGCGTGGTGGTCGTTATGACTTCAAGCCAGTCCATGATATCCACTGAACTCGGATTGAGTTCCGGTAGAGCTGGAAGAGCTGGGTTGCTTGTCACCATCCTTGTCCTTATCCTTCATCTGTTTGAGGATCACTGCTTGCAACTGAGCCATACCTCCGGCCAACAACGCCATAGTATCCGGATTGTCCGTACCGCTCAATCACTGAGCCGGAGTTCCTCCCGAGCTGGTAACCTTCGGTTCCTCACGTCCACTCCTGGTGTCATCACTCGGCATAGGCCCCGACGTCATACTTGGCAATGGCTGTGCATTCTGAGAGACCCCAACTGTGTCCTGATCTTTCGGCTTTGGATAAGCCTGTGGTTCTTGACCATGAAGACTCCCTTGAGGTAATCCACCTGGATTTCCTCGAGGGCGGTTCGGGAGCACCGCCTGGTACGCTATGCGCCTGAGCAGGTGACTGAAGACTCCCTTGAGGTCCACCTAGATTTCCTCGAAGCTGTTCAGGAGCACCGCTTGGTACACTATGCAGGAGCATCTCTTGGTACGTTATGCGCCTGAGCT